GGGTAGTGGGGATGAAGGAAGGGGTCGAGGGGTAGTGGAGATGAAGGAAGGGGTCGAGGGGTAGTGGGGATGAAGGAAGGGGTCGAGGGGTAGTGGAGATGAAGGAAGGGGTCGAGGGTTAGTGGGGATGAAGGAAGGGGTCGAGGGGTAGCGGGGATGAAGGAAGGGGTCGAGGGGTAGTGGGATGAAGGAAGGGGTCGAAGGGTAACAGGGATGAAGGAAGGGGTCGAGGGGTAGTGGAGATGAAGGAAGGGGTCGAAGGGTAGTGGGGATGAAGGAAGGAGTCCAGTGGTAGTGGAGATGAAGGAATGGGTAGAGGGGTAGTGGGGATGAAGGAAGGTGTAGCGGGGATGAAGGAAGGGGTCGAGGGGTAGTGGGGATGAAGGAAGGGCTCGAGGGGTATTGGAGATGAAGGAAGGGGTCTTGTTGCTGGGATGAAGGAAGGGGTCGAGGGGTAGTGGGATGAAGGAAGGGATCAAAGGGTAGTGGGGATGAAGGAAGGGGTCGAGGGGTAGTGGAGATGAATGATGAGGCGTCTGGCGAGGTACATCGAAGGAGGCTTGAGGAGAAGGCTCAGAGTGGGGCATGGTCTCCAGTAAGGATGCTTTTTCCTGAGCCTGCTTTGGACCCTCCAGCTTGAACCTGAAAAGGAATTGATTAGGAGGCATTTTGAGTTGGGGATGGAGGAGAAAGAAAGTGATGCGGAGATGAAGGGATGAGGAAGAGATGAAGGAATGAAGAAGGAATGAAGGGAGTGAGGAAGGTGGTGCGATGAGGGCGTGCAAGTGGGGCCTAAGTGGGGCAAAAGGGGAGGGTGGGTGTCGAGACGGCGAGCTGAGGGCAAAACGCCAGGTGAGGCGGGTTTAGACGCTGACTGATTAGCTGAATGCGAGAGGCGTGGTCCTGCTCCTGAACCTAAGTTAATATCTTAACTTAATTTGTGGTGTGAAACTGTTCGTTGATAGCAAATCTCTGATGATCTTATGACACATGGCTTGATTTCTTCTGCAGTTTGCTTTAAATGTGTAATCTGAGAGCTGTTTAGTGACTCTATGCAGGTGTTGCACATTCTTTTTGTGTTTAAAAATAATGTACATACTTTATTAAAACTTATACAATTAAAGTTATGAGTTTTATGTTTGCTGTTGACAACAATTTTGATTTGATGGAAATGCTTGTCAGTGCATACAATCATATGAGGTAAAAACATGTTGCAAAGGTGCACGAGTCCAATGAATATTTCTACTAGGCAGAAGTTATCCAATGAAAAATGAATATTCATATACAATTCAATGCAGAAATCAAGCCCTGATAAATTTACATTGACAGTCCGCCCCCTCTAAGATGGTGTTGAGCTCGAACCACAACAGTCAATCTTCAAGTGGAAGTGCCCTTCAGATGCACTGGAAATGCCACAGCTAGCTGCTGCTACTACAGTTTGCACCTGTAAATTACCATCACATTCTATGTACATACGTAACTGTGTAATGAAAAATTCATGGTTGTGTTAAAAACAAATGATTCCATTTTCCCAGAGTTGTTTTAAGATGACATCAGTCCACTTTGTTCACGGCTGCATTCTGACTAAATTGTAATGTATGGGTCTTGTCAGAATTAAACTCTGTCATTCAAATAACTATACTGCATGTAAGATATTAACTATTCATAATATTTTCACAGAAAGACAGTCCAAAACGTTTGAGTTATCTTTTTTATTCAGAATCTTGAATCTAGGTAAAATCAGCAGCATTATGGCTACTCAGAAAATACAGTTTCTCCCAAACATTGAAAAAATTAGTAATATCAAATACAGACAAGTTTAAAATATTTTAAGTCAAAATAATCTATATCTGAATATCTATACCAATAAAGGTTGTGACAAATACCTTCTTACAGTATGATCCAATCCAGAAATGTTCATTCACATTACATTACATGAAGTAGGCCCAAACTACCAGCATTATTATTTATCTACGTAACCTGTGTCACTTTTGCCCATAAAAATCTAAGTGAGTTCATTTACAAATCTGTCATATAAAGACGTGTTTTGTCCTCTGCTCTCTGAAGACACATCCAGGTGTAGCTTGTAAACATGAGGAGAATCACACAGCTGGATTCGGATCATCTTCCGTCTTCAACGCATCCACCAGGAAACTGAGTTCGTTCTGCAGGGTCTCGTGGCGGTAGGCCATGCGGATCTGAGCCACGTTTGTCTTACGGATGTCATTACCCTTTGGTCCATCTTGTAGGTAGTTGGAACCAATGAAGAGTTTCTTTTCCTGTGGATAATATGGTTTAAAACGATTTGAATATCTTCCATAAAACATTTTTTTACGAACTAAGCAGATTTCTAAGTAAATTTTCCTGTGACGAGGTTGATTACCTAAACAAGAGATTTTAGGTATAAACAATACAGTAACTTCACCTACTTTAAAAATGTTTTGGAGATTAGTTAGATACTGTAAGATACCACGCTTAAAGCTACATAATGCTGCTCTATGTTGGAAAGTAGTACAAAAATCTTATACTTGTTTTACACCAAGCAGTGTTCCGTGCAGTTCTGACTGTCGACAGAAGATGGCAGTCTATTATACTTGTATTGAATGAATGTTTCTGGAAATGTAATGTAAATAAGTTCACTTCTTTGGAGGTTACGTTCTGAATGAAACTCAAAATTTCTGTGGAAGCATCATGTAGTTTAACGTAAAACCAATTTCTTCTTTTTTTTTTACAACAAAAAATGAATAACGGTGTGGTCTGACTAGCGTGTCACTCTCTTCACCAAGTCAGGTTTAGTTTTACCTCATGGGACAGGCCGCTCTGCAGAACGCTGTTCCTGGCAATCTCACACAAATCACATGTGCTCAGCTTCCACAGCTGTGCTGCTATGGCATACTCCTCCATCAAAGCTTCCTGAACAGATGTTTAAAGAACACGAAGAGGCATGTTGATACATGTTTAACTGAGCTGATTGTGCTCTTTGTTTGGTTTCTCCCGGGTCCTGACCTTAGTGTAGTGGAACTGCATGGGATCATCAGTGGACAGCGACACACACAGGCCCTTGTGAAGAAACTCTTGCAGTGGGTTCTTTGAGTACTGCAGGAACAGGCTGTTGTTGCTCAGTGGGGACATGGCAATGGGGACCTGGCCCAGGTAGTACAGGTACTGCAACACTGGACTCTGAAGAGTGGGGAAGTAATGCAGACACACCAAAGTAATGTTAGCTTTATTGTAGTGATGCGACGGTCATGAACAAATATTTTGAACGACTCTTTTACAGTGAACAATAGGAGTTGAGCCATGGGACATAAAGAGCCGTTTGTAGTTTTTTTTTTTTTTCCTTATATAATCTTTTTTTTTCATGCTTAAAACACAGAGACAATCGCTCCTGCTTTGCTTTTTCTGAGGAAACGTAGAGCAGTGGAGAAGAGCAAGTCAGGGGGAAAGGAAAGGGGGTTTCTGCTTAACAAAACATGTGTCCACCCACGTAACGTGATGACGTCATCACACAGCCATGATAACGTATTTTCCTACATGAGGACATAACTTGTTCAAAATCAAACAGCTCTTTTGAACGGCTCTATGAAACAAACGGCTCTCCAAGATGCGGATCCCTTGAAAAAGCCATTTATCCCATCTCTACTTGATTGTTTTGCTTTTGTTTTGGGGAATTACTGAAGAACTGGATCATAAATTAAATGATCCAAAGCAGCTAGAAGAGTCATGTTCAGTGTTCTTCTAAAGTAAAGATTGAACCAGCAACTGTCTAATATGAAAACCACTTAGTGTTTTAAGCCGCAGCTGTGCATATACAAATAACATAGATTGAATTATTTGTTGCAGGAAACAGATGTTAATATGTCAACCAACACAGTTTAGAAAAAAATGTTATAGTATTAGCAGTGTTGTTAATTACAGCTGGAACACAGGAGTAATGAAACAAAGCCCCTCAAAACGTTCAAAGTTTGTCTTTGAGGTAGAATTTGGTGGTAAAGCAGTAGATATGATGGTCGTTTCACTTCTGATTTCAGTATTAAAGACCTTGAACATCAAACCAAAGTGTGAATTTATAGGGCTGCACCTTCTTCAGGTTGAGTCCATGGGAGATATTATCAGCTGTCAGGAAGGCAGAGACCAGGTGGGTGATGGAACCCGCCTCACCACAGTGGGGACGAAACTGGAAGGTGTTCAGTCCTCGGTCCCTGCAGAAAAAAAAAGATTTCACTTTTGTGAACGCAGCTCAGTGCTTTAACATCTTGTTGGTGAAAGGAGGATGATGTCTTTTTAAGTTTTCAGATTCTTGGCAAAGAAGTTGCTCTGGCGTCCCTGTTGTTTGGAGCACTATAAAGTTTTATCTTCTAGACATTTCTTGATTGTTTTATTTATCGTTTAAGAACTTACTTGCGCAGATTGTTCAGCACCATGATGTTGGCATACATGTAGAAGAGGTAATAGGTGTAGGGAGGGTTGTCTTCTGTGGTCCATTCCTCAGGCTTTGGGCTTTTGTAAGAGAACATGTGGTCGCTGTGCTTGGACTCATCGTCCACACTGTCGAACCCGGTCACCTGCAGGACCACAGAAATACCCCAAGGCTTCTATCAGCTCGACAGTGTTTGTGTCGTCGGCCGCTGAACGTTAAACCTCAAACATTTTTGGATGAAAAAAAAAAAAAAACGGTTTTGCAAGTGAATGAATTTACGTACGTATTTCAGGAAAACATGGATTGTTTTGTGCTTTTGAGGGTTGACTGTAGCTTCAAAAAGTGGGAGGAAAATGTTCTCCAGCATCTTGGCGTAGTTTGGAACCAGTTTTTTTGACCTGAAGATGTCACTGAAAGACAAAAGAAATCAAGTCAACCTTTCCTCACATTGAGGACACACAATTAGTTTTTACTCTGTTTCTGTGCAAACAGGCCCAAGTTTGTCTTATAGTCTAATTGTGGGCATTTTTTTTTTTTTTCCAAAAAACTTACTAAATTCTTGGAACTTGAATCATCCATCTCATGTTGGATGAGTGGACTTTGTGTTGGATGAACCATGATGCCAGGCTCTTCCACTCGCTGGCAGATCTGCCGTAGATCGACAAACGTGGCTCGGCGTGCTGATATATGCTCTCCTCCAGTTCGTTAGCAACTTCCTGGATTGTGCAACAATGCAACAAATTTCTTGATAAAACAGAAGTTGGCTGATAGACAGGAAACAAATGCATGCTATTTCTTAATCCAAACTCTTTGTTTCTCAAAAAATACAAACTTAATCTGTAGTAATGTTGTTCAAGAAGACCTGTTCTTGCATACATGATTATCTTTAGAGTCAGAAGTCATGTATTTTGGTTATATATATATATATATATATATATATATATATACACATACTTGTTCAGTTCAATTTTTAAAAACCTAATTATCACTGAAACTTAAATGCAAATTAGAATTTACCAAAATAATCCAACTCACCACCACACAGTTGTTTAACCTTTATGTACAGATTTGAAAATTACTATATTATTATTATCATCATCATCATTATTTTGTATTGATACTGAACCTTGATAAGACGTGCAAAGTATTCTCCATTAATATAGTTGTCCGTTTTCAAGTAAATCTCTCGTAGTTCACTGGCTCCCACAGGATTATATTTGGAGTTGAACTTGTCAAACCGGTGAAAGGTTTGTCTCCCCTGTGAGTGACGAGAGAGAGAAAATTTTACATACTGATAATAATCACATCAGTTCTTTTTCTGTACTAATACAAAGAATGCAGGATTAACAGTGGATATTTCATATATCTACATTTGTAACAAACAAATTTTGAATTAAATAAAACACATTTTTTTTGACATTTTGCATCAAAAACAAAGTGTTTAGACTGTACAGCGATGCTGCTGTTTTAACTCCAAATGTTCTCTTACAGCGTGCACATCCAGTGAATCTACAGTCAAGTCATACGGGTCCATTTTGAGGTTCTTGAAGACTTCCTTGAGTGTGATCTTCTGGCCCCCTTTCTCCAAAACCACACGGTCCGCCTCTTCTTGGTAAGTTGTTTGTATAAATCTCAACAGATGTTTCTGGTTCATGCAAGCGGCAGCGTGTATGTGTGTGTCTACCTGTGTTTGACAAAAAAGAAATTGATGTTATTGGGCTACTGTACTACACCTGTTGGTATTTTAGGCTAAAGTTCACTAAGACCCAAAGTCACATAGCCTGCTGAAGGACTGAATAAAAAAAATCAACTAACCTTTCTAACATTGTAGAAGTCCCTGTGTGCTACACATTTCAGCTCTCTCAGCTCTGCCATTTCATTCAGCATTTCATGGAGGTGGAATTTAGATTCCAAGAAATTAAGTCGTCTGTGACAGTAGGTTTTCCTGCAAGGCAACACGAGATTACGCTGTAAAATACACAATGATTTATGCCTGTCAGTCCTGTTCTGTTGAAATTTTCTCTTTGTAGTTTAAGTTGTGACATTATTAGCACTTTGTGCTGAGATACTGCATTAATGTGTCTATTAAAT